TATAAAAAAATGCAACTACCAGTTGCTCCTTCCAGCAACAATCAGTTTCACATGTACCCAGATTCTGGAGAACCAGAGCTATGGAGATTTGGAAATTTCAGTGAGGAAAGCATATCCTCTTGGCCTTCAACTGCTTCCAGGTTTAATATTGAACATGAAGAAAATTACAAGAGCTTAAAAACTGAAGAACCGTATCCATCTTTCAAAGAGCACTCGACAGACCAGCAAAGGAATTCTGAACCAAGGTCAAGCATGGGAGATGATCAACCTTCCCACTACAGTCACCAATGTGTGGGAAACCTAACCTTCCAATCAGAAAATACATCAGCCACAGAGCCTGTAAAGCATACTGAACCACTTCTGCGAAATAAGTGTGGTAGCGAGCAGCATGTCCAAAATGTCAGTGAGCTCAATAGAAAATCTTTCAATGTCTTTGATAGCATCTCTGTAGCAAATAACCAAATGTACATTGAAAATCAATCGGTTGATTCCAATTTACAGGTACAAAAAATCCAAAAGGCAGAAAAGGAAAGTAAAACTCCAAAAGGAAAAAAAGGAAAGGCTGATGAGGGCGAGAAAAATAATGCAGTTGACTGGGACATTTTGAGAAAGCAGGCACAAGCCAATGGTAGGAAAACAGAAAGAAATAGAGATACAATGGACTCTCTGGACTATGAAGCACTCATAAATGCTAATGTCAAAGAAATATCTGATGCAATCAAGGAGCGAGGGATGAACAACTTGCTAGCGGAACGAATGCAGGTTCTCTTCTATTAGTGTTCAGTCTAAAGACCTTATGTTTGTTAAGAGCACCATTAAATTGCCCCAAGATAACATCACTGGACAGGTTAACAGTGATTGCAAAATGTTTGTAGGAATTCCTAAAGCGACTGGTTAGAGAACATGAAAGCACCGATCTGGAATGGTTAAGAGATGTTCCCCCTGATAAAGCAAAGTCAGTCATTCCAAATAATTCATTTTCTTCTATAACATTACAACTGCCCCTTTTATGCACAAGGCTATCCAAATGATGAACAATGGACTGCAGTGCATCCGTATATTTTGTATATAGTTAATTAGTTATCACATACGCTTATTCTGCAGGGATTATCTATTAAGCATACGAGGATTGGGCTTGAAAAGTGTGGAGTGCATCCGGCTTTTGACACTTCACCACCTTGCTTTCCCGGTAACAATTGTGTGGCACAATTTAGCAATTTTCCTATGATAGTCCGGGAACATCTTACAATATAAGAAATATTGTTTCTTTTTGCTCCATAAAGGTTGACACAAATGTTGGAAGGATAGCAGTAAGACTGGGATGGGTCCCCCTCCAACCATTACCCGAATCACTGCAGTTACACCTCTTAGAACTGTAAGAAAATAATATCTCAACAATTGGATGATTAACTTTTCCATAATTGCAAGTGCTAACTGTATCATTCTCTAGGTACCCAATGCTGGAGTCGATTCAAAAGTATTTATGGCCAAGATTGTGCAAACTTGATCAACTAACCCTGTAATCTCATACTTCCCTAGAACCATTCATATTAATTTGTGGGCACTTTCTTTTTTACTTGCTCTTTTGCTAATTAGCTGACTATTGAATGACAGTTACGAGCTGCACTACCAGATGATTACATTTGGAAAGGTATACATGGCGCTTCTTTGATTAGAAACATGATTTGTGATTAAGCAAAAATAGAATAAGTCCCTCTTGTTTTCGTATGTATGCAGGTATTTTGTACAAAGAGTAAACCAAATTGCAATGCATGTCCAATGAGAGGAGAATGTAGACACTTCGCAAGTGCTTTTGCAAGGTTCGAGTAATCATCTCTGGAAAGTTATATGTATATTGATGTCACTGTGCAGGAAATAAACATGAAGCGTGTCACGAGAACCCTTACATATTTTGGGGCATGAGATTCTGGCCTTATTAATTAGTAATCAGAAAGTGTTTCAAAAACTTAAACTAGTAGATAGTTTCATGTAGAATCTGTAGAAGTAAGAAGTACTCTATGTTTCACTAATCACATGGAAAAAGAAAGAGAAGTAAAAAATAAAAATAATAAACAACAATACAGTACATTATTATGAGACTCTCTGAAGAACAGTCTTAATCAAATTCAGACCAACCTTGTTTGGTGCAGTGCAAGACTTGCCCTGCCAGGGCCAGAAGAGAAGAGAATTGTCAGTTCAAATGTTTCCATTGAACCCGAGATAAATCCCACCATAGCTGTCACTCCTATGTCACTGCCTCCGCCTGAGAACAACTCACTCCTGATAGCAGGTACTGTAACTAAAGAGTGTGAACCAATAATCGAAGAGCCAGCAACACCAGAACAAGAGTTGACAGAGCTATCAGAAAGTGAAATTGAGGACTTCTTCTATGAAGATACTGATGAGATTCCTACCATCAAACTCAACATGAAAGAGTTCACATCGACATTTCAAAACTATATGCAAGAGAAGAAGCTCCAAGAAGGTGACATGTCCAAAGCCTTAGTTGCCTTGAATCCAGAAGCTACTTCTATCCCTACGCCCAAGCTGAAGAATGTCAGTAGACTACGAACGGAGCACCAAGTGTAAGTCCCTGTCTTCCCAATAAAACTGCATATGCTTACCAATACACTGGATGCAGTAACAATATACCCATAGCATGTTCAATCAAACAAAACAATTTTTGGTGTCTAAGTACTGAATTCGCTACCATCAGAATTCTAACTGCATTTTAAATAACTCTCTGCCAAGGATATATTATGAGTTTCGACGTACATACCTATATATAAACATATGTACATAGACATAACTATAATTCTCCATGACAAACTTATACATCTGTGTGGATACAATGCAGGTATGAACTACCTGATTCGCATCCACTCTTGGAAGGGGTAGGTTAATATGTTAATTGTGTATATGGAATATATGAAGCATTCTTAATCTCAGTTTATCACTATTCAACTTTGCAGATGGATAGACGGGAACCAGATGATCCAAGCCCATACCTTCTAGCTATATGGACACCAGGTAACCTCAAGAAATCACAGAGAACTGAGATGCATTGTTGAGAATTGAGTATCTTGTACATTTTGCTAAGTGATGCATTGATTCTGCATCACGGTATACCAGGGGAGACTGCAAATTCAATTCAACAACCAGAAAGCAGGTGTTGCTCCCAAGATCAAAACAAATTGTGCAATGAGAAGACATGCTTTTCATGCAATAGTATAAGAGAAGAAAATTTGCAAACCGTCAGAGGGACGATTTTGGTGAGGAAAATTTAAATTGTGATAATATGTAAACAAAATAGACCACCTGCAGTTGTTACTAAAATTTAATTCATCTTGTCACAGATACCTTGTAGAACAGCAATGAGAGGGAGCTTCCCCCTCAATGGCACATACTTTCAAGTTAACGAGGCAAGTTTTCTTCAAACAAATTTCCTTCGATTTTATCCACTGTGTCTAGTCAGGACTAAGTTAATAGCAGTCCAGAAATTACACCTTATCTAAATTAAAGGCACTCCTCCAACCCAATAGGTCAAAAAGAGTGCTATCTGCCTATTCTCATTTATAAACAAAACTCTATCACAACGCAGATGTTCGCAGATCATGAATCTAGTCATAACCCAATTGATGTTCCAAGGGGGTGGATATGGAATTTGCCAAGACGGACCGTATACTTTGGAACTTCGGTATCAACAATTTTCAAAGGTAATGAAATTGAGATACCACGGTTACTTTACAAATATCCCAATTTAAAATGTAAAGTCACTCACAATGAAATACCTTCGACCAGGTCTATCAACAGAGGGAATTCAATACTGCTTTTGGAGAGGTATGCGATATGCTGACTTCAGTTCATATTAGTTTGAGGATAATGATTTAGGAACATAAGACACCGACTTCAGCTCTTTATATTATTTTGAGGATAACTATTTAGGAACATAGTACATAAATGAGAAGATAACACAAGATCACGAAATTAAATTCCGACACAACCTACTTGGATGTATGCAACTATATCTTGTGTAAGAGCTTCATCTAGTCGATAGGATATTAGAATATCCTAGAGTAAGTCAATCAAAAGCCAATTGTATTTGATCATTTTGGTGACTACATCATGTCGGCATAAGATTATACTGTTTAAGCACCTGTAAAGTTCAGACATGGATAAGGAGGTTGTTTATTCACACAACTCTAAAGCAGTTCTGAAGGTGGGTGTGACTGTTGAAAAAAAGAAAAACATTCTATTGCAGAACTGATGTCTTTACATTAGCAGTCAACTGACGAGATGGCGAACAAGTTTCCTTGTAGACTGATTGATTTCTTTGCAGGATATGTTTGTGTGAGGGGATTTGAAAAGAAAACAAGAGCACCACGGCCCTTAATGACCAGATTGCACTTCCCAGCGCGTAAGATGACCAAGACAAAAAATGAAGAGAAGAAATAAAACTGACCATGATGGCACAGAGAAGATTATTCATCAGATATACAGAAGACTACTGACTGTGTGAGAAGAACAATGACTAACAAATTCTAGCACATTTAATTATTCTTCCTCTACCATGAGATGCACACATTGTACGATGGGCGGGCAGTGGAAAGCCAGCACCATTCAGGAAATGTGAGGTCTCGTGACGAGTTGATTATATTCTGTACAGAATAGTTTAATAAATTCCGAGAAAGGAGTAATCCATTCATTAACTTCCCAGATGGTCCAAAACATTCATAACGTTTTCCTTTTGTTTTTTTTTTTTTTTTTGCCCCACAAAGAAACAGGAATGAAGAGGTGAGAAATCAAATCGTCTAACAAGTAACATTGTAAATGATGCTTACCTGCAATAATTGGTTGCTGATGGAAAATAAACCCTTTCAAGCTTCTACATTATTGACAAGAGAGCATCTGGAGAAGATGTCAAAACACAAATCAACAGAACATATCTAAATAAGGGGGACTGACAACGATACTCACCTGTATTTAATACAATCACCATCTTACCGTCAGATTTTATGCGAATATATCTATTTAATACAATCACCTGACTGTCAAGATAGTGATTGTATTAAATACATGTAAGTATTGTAGCCGGATCCCTAAATAGGTATAGTCAAAATCAATTAAATCTTGTCAACAAACATTCTGTCACAAAGATCCAACTACAAAAAAGCAAGATGCAATCTAACAAGAACTAGAGAACTCAATGACAATAGAAGAGAGGTGATGCAACCGTCTACAACACATAGCAAACACATTTTCCATTTTTATTTTGTTTATGCTAATACAGAACCAAAACAGATAAGATGTTACCTTCCACCCTAAGAATAATTGTTCTACGATTTAACATTCAGAGACCAGAGTAAGGTTAAAAGCACAACAATGTACCGTAAGATCATATTCAAACGAGCTAGACGTACGCTATGACTCCAAATTTTGAGAATAATTTCGATTAAATAGAAAGCTAGGGTTTGAGAGAATGAACCTGCTGGGCGAGTTGAGAAGCTGCGGAAATCGGAAGAGAGATGGAGTTGTATTGAAATTGCGGGATCCCGATCCAGTTTAGGTTTAAGTGAACTGGGAAGAGTTTCTAATTGAAATATTGCCGCCTTTTGCCCTTTCCCACCATAAATGGAAACTTTGGCGCGCGCACGGGTGGGATTAAACTTCACTCAGACCCTCAGCTTATGGCAACACGTGGAGGAATACAATTTAACGGCCCAAGTAAAATGAAACTTTTTTGAAGAGCAAGTAAATAAAAATAATTTCCGGGATATTACCGGTGTATTACATTACAATAATATTATTTATTTTTTTCCTTAAACAATGAACTAAAAATAGCTCTCGAGTTTTAAGGTTATTTTTCCAAATTTCATAATTTCATGTTTTGCTTCCCTTTCGATACGAGAGGTTCTTCTCAAACTTCTGGTGTTACATAAACTTTCATAAGGTGATAGTTCGTATTTTCTCTGAACTCTAACTTCTATTATTTTGAAAACATAATTAGTTATCAATTATAATCCAATAATAGGTACCGAATAAGGCTTTTGTTAACAACTTAACTTTAATCCCCATGTGAATAGTGGAATCAAGTAATGATACGGGTAATTGATTTCATTTTACTAGCTCCGGCAGTTTTAGCTTCCACTGCATCTAAATTGTCTTGGCTTACTTGGCCTTTGCATTTATAAGTCAATTTTTCTATCATGATGTGTGATTTTATTTTTCCTTAACATTTTGTGTAAAAGTTTCACCTTGGTGAAGGAAAAAATCATGTAAGAACTTATAAGAGGTTGAGCTACTTCTATATATATTACCAATTGGTTTTATGATGAAACCTCAACTTTCATGATATCAGAGAAAATTGACCCACGTGTAAAGCCTAACAACCACACTTACTGCATGTTATACCCAATTTGTGTTGACCGCGTATTCTTTCCACAGTCAAAACGTGTACTGCAAATTTGTTTTTGTCGCTATGTTGTATACAGCATATGGACCTGTTTTTTTTATGCTTGTATATATATATATATCTATATATATATATATATAGGCTGTTCTAAATTTCCCGTCGACAGATTACTATGTTGTTGCCAGCTCTAGCTGGATTAGGCTGTTCTAAATTTCCAATGACAAATGAATTACTTAAGTATACGTGCGGCGGGATCATGAGAAACGTTGGGCAGGTTTTTTAAGGAATTTATTTATTTATTTTGATCAAGGACAAGCAAATTCATTGAATGATAAAGGCTTAGTACAAATACGACAAACTAGCCCAATAAAGTGGAGATGGCCAAAGCCCATTCAGCAAAAAAAAACAAAAAACCTAACATAACAAAAACCCAGAGCCGCAACCAGCAAAGGTCGACCGCTGCTGATGCCATCACCTCACCAGCGACCACAAAGGTAATCACCTGAAGAAAACCAACTTCGTGTTGAATTCGACGAAGGAATCGCACCACAAAACAATTAGCAACAAGGAAAAATCCCCAACCAAAATCGCCATATTGGAGAAGAGACAATAGATCTGAACCACCAAAACAAGCCCCTGCAAGTAAAACCAGAACCAAAACAAAAGGGAAGGGGATGGTGGCTAAGGGGGCATCTAAAATACCCTCGCTTTGGGCAAAACAGCAGCATGATTGGCCCCGAATTTCCGACATACTGGTCGGCTACAGAGACGTGAACTGAGGGCTGAGATCTGCAAACCAAACTAGGTGCGTCATTGTTGGCTTTGAACAGAGGTTGTGGGAGGGATGGCAAGTGGGAATAGGGAGGAAATGAACAAGATGGAAGATGATGAGTGTTTGGGGTTGAGGGGCGGGGGTTGAAAGCTGGGGACTGGGTTTGTCAAGACATAAAAGACGTTAATAAACACCGAAATACAACGAGGAACGCCGAAAAATGGCAAAGGACACAGGAAAACTACGAAGTGCACAAGCATAATGAAAAGAAAGGAAAAGAGAAGAGGGGAAAATGGTTGCTGGCCGACCCCAACCCCAGAAAGGAGTCTCAATGCTGAGGACTAGTTGTGACTTACTTTGTGCAAGAGAGAAAAAGGGGAGAGCGGTTAGGGTTTGTTTTTCAAGTTAAGTCTTATTTTTAAGGCATATTGTTTAATCATGCTTACTTGTATTATATCACCCACAGGTGGAGAGGTCAAAATTATCATAAAATTAAAGCCATGCACTTTGTTTTAAAAATCTCCACCTAATATCATCTAGATCCCACCACGCTGCCTGACTATCACCTTACGTTTTTTATAGCCTTGGCCACAGACAACTAATTTGATCTGACTTCTGGCATTATGTTTTCGTATAGGTATTAACATTGGCCATTGAAAAGTTGGCTCTATATTATCAGCCGGCTCTATATTATTAGTCCGTTACTTTATTTTATTGTATAATACTCGGATTCTTGCTCTGTATTCTTACCGCATGATAACAAATGTTCGTTCAAAAAATAAAAGAAATTCTAGCACTGGTTAAGCAACAATTCATAATAATCATTTAGTATTACGGTTCGGGTAGCAAACATAGTATTACAAATTTACTGATATTCTTTTTACTTTTAAATGAGAAATCATATATTCAAATATTGTTATATCAAACATAATTAAAACTCATAGCATGCATATCTTTTGAAAATCTTTGGTTTTTCAAAAACAGTAGGATGTGTAGTATTATTGTAAGTTCACGTTGTTGAAAAATACGATCCCTCCATCACTACGGAATAAAAGGAGTGATCTCGTAGTTTTTGGTCTGTGAAGATACGTTGTTAGGTGCTCTATTTTATTTTACCATTAAGAAATATGGTGCTAACTAATATATTTGATGATATAAATGATGGTTGATTCGTCATAACCCCTCATTATTTTAGTGAAAAGATCATGTATAATTGTAGGATTTAGATGGATGGGTACAAATCACCTTCAAATTACTTGTACATTGGTTAATTAACAACTTGGTAATTGAGATGGGCAAACAAATTTGCAGTACATATTTTGACTAGAGATAAATTAAATTACCCTATATTAGCTCATTACTGAAAGGGGTGAGAAATCCGCACTCCTTTTTACTTCTCACACACCCTTTTAATTTTCTACCGTCTGACAAGATGAATTGAAGAAGATCAAAGGACATAAATTAAAAAGGGGTGTGCTCCACGTTGAAGGAAGATTTGTGAAAAACATGTTCATTTAAGCAACATCAATAGCATGCAATTAACAATTAAAGACGGAATCATGCTTGTATGCACTTAAAACAAAACATTTACTCATGAAATTCAAAGCCTAGTAGATAGGTGAACCAAGACTCAACTCAAAACAAAGTGAGTTGAGAAATCAATACCTTTGTAGATTCCTCTTTGCATAAGCAAAGGCTAATCACCCAAAGAGAGGGCCTTCATTCCTTGCATCTTAGATCCATGGATTTGGATGGATGAAAAAGTTTCTCCAAGTTCCCAAAATTGAGAACCTCTAATGATTCATCACCAAGGCATAATGAAGAAGAAATGAGTGACCTTGGAGGAGTTTGATTGCTAGATGATCCCTCCAAGGTGGCCTAAATTTTAGAGAGAAAGGAGAGCTTGTGTTCTCATCCTTTCCCCAAAAATTACCATATGTAAATTTTAGGCTATAAAGTCCTTTATATAGTCCCTTCAAATAAGTGACCTAATGGACCAAAAGCCCTATTCTTCTAACATGGCAAGCCTATAGGGTTTATTGGGCTTTCAAGCCCTTTGTTTATTCAAGTTGTCATACAACTTGAGTTAATGGGCTTGACATTCAAATCCCATTGGGCCTTGCGGCCCAAAACTAACCCGAGGTCTTTAACGAACTTATTCGTTCGATTAATTAACATATTAATTAATCCTAGCCTTAGATAAATAATTAAACCATTTAATTATTCTTACTCATCTCCGTTGTTTCTTCAAACTCTACCTTACTCGGTGAACGATCCATTAGGTTCCTTTTAGCGAGGCAGTGGGCGATTAAAACTCTTTCTAATCGATTGTGAATTGAAACTTACTTTCAATTCTCCCGTTAGTGATAATACACTTTTAGGGCTTCCACAAACCATGGTTGACGCCTAGCAGCATGTCATGGTTACCCAAGCTAATCAGAAGAGGTGGAGAACCTATTCAGTTTTAGGATTACAAATGCAATACGGTCTTTCTCTAATACAATACTCTTGACCACA